CCCCAATAACCGTTAAACCCTAAACCCTGAACTCCAAAACCGCATCGAAGGCTTTACTCGTGCCGACGGAGTCTCGAAATTCGTGGCTCCAGGCGGGTTAAGGTCTGTAGGGTTTAGGGCTTATAGAAATTGTCTGGTGTTTGGGTCCGGGCTGTGAGCGAAACATGTTTAACGAAGTTTTTGAGCAGTTTCTTTGTTTGCTTTCGCTTTCGCATCTCGGCCGGGCTGGACCGGGCCCAGAGAGCTCCTCGGAGAACGTATTCCGATGCTGGCTGCTCAGAGAAAAGCGCTTTGATTGAACACATGTTGATGGGTTCTACCCCGTAACACCTGCTCTTCGGATTTGGGTCTCCCTAAACTCTAAACCCTAAACTCTAAACCCTAAACCGTGGCTCTTCGGATTTGGGTCTAGGGTACCAGTGTTGGGTCGACGCTTTGGGGTGCTGGCTTCCCTAAGCGTTTGGGGTACTAGCTTGTCCAGGAGGGTCTAGGGAGTCGAGTGTTGAGGGTTTAAGGTTTCATGAATTCGATTTAGGGCTTAGGGTTTAGGGAATTAAGTGTATATAGAGGTATAGGGTAAGCCAGTCTTGAGCCTATTCTTTTGGAGCGCTGTGGCTGTAGCTCCCCCAAGGAAGGACCCAAAACATTCAGGAGCGCTAGAGTTGAGGGCTTAGGGTTTAGGTCTTAGGATGCAGGGGTCTACTAGAGGCCGCGCGGCAGCTCACACAGCATCGCAACTCCGGCTCGTTCCTGAGTCCGTGAGGGTTTAGTGTTTAATGGTTTCGGGTAGTGACGTGCTCTACCAGGGATCCCCAGAAAGAAAGCAACTTTTTTGGTTCATGGCCTTGACGTCGCAGGATTCTGGGTGCTTCAGGGTATCCAAAGAAAAAGACCTCAAGATATGGCATCCTTAGAAGATGTTTTACTCAGTGTTGCCAAAGCTCCTTCCCTGCGACATATTTAAACCCTGCTCTCGGCCCATCCCACGAAAATGTCCGGAGCCTAGGGTCCAGGGTTTCAATCTCCGGCGCCGAAAGTGCAGAATTCTAGCGCCGAAGCCGGTGTCGTAGTTGGCTTTCAACTGCTAAACTAAACTGACTAAACCCCATTTAGACCCTTCCTAGACCGCGAACCCTGTCCATATCGTATTCTCTGAACCCTTAACCCGCGTGATGCGAGAAAGCCACCCAGCGCGCCGCATCTTCGGAGCTCGGGACTTCGAGCTCCAGCAACGGACGCTCCTGAAGTTAGTGCTTCATAATCATAGAGACGATACAGGGGCCTTAATAGTGACCTAACAAGAGTCAATATTCATAACAGTGATATTAAGCAAAACAATGACCCTAGTAATTCGTAGTAGGCTTAGGGTTCGTGGTAGTATAGCCATGTAGGGACTACGAGGGACAAGTGATTCGGCGATGTGGGGCTGTAGAGCTTCATCGGGCCCTATGTCCTATGTCGGGGTCATGGTGTAGGGGGTGTTGCGCTGGGTGGTTTTCGGTTGCATTTGTTTGGTGGCTTTGCGGTTGCTGTGAGATTTGGAATGTCAGGAATTAAGGGCTTTGAGTGTGACATAGCAGGCAAGCGCTTGCCTGTTTCTGTTCTTGCTGTACTTCCTAAACTCCAAACCCTCAAGCTTAAATCCACTAGCCTTCAGACGAAAACCCTTCCCTCAAAGTTTCTTTCGGGCTTGAGGGATTCATGGGCGCTTCGGCCCAGACCTTCCAAAATCCCTTAATTAAGGAATATACCTTCAATCATACTAGGAATTCTACTATGATTTAAGGTATATTCCTTAATTAAGGGATTTTGGAAGGTCTGGGGGCTTCAGAGCTTTGAGGGAGTTTAACGACTTGAGAACTCTGGGGCTGAAAAAGGGTGTCTCCTACAAGTTGACCAGGTAAACTTAAACCGCGGATACTATTAACAAAAATACAGGTATACAAAGGTTTTTCAGACAGACAGATAGATAGACAGACAGTAAGGATAGGAGAGGACATCATAGATGGGACAGGCTCCGTTCGGGCACCTGCTGCACTGATGATGATGCCAGAGGCTCCTTTGAAGATCTCGTGAACAGTATCGTCTTCCAACACCAAATAACCGCTCCGCCGCTTAATCGTTGTGGGTGGCTGCAGGATCGGCTTCGGCATCACTGGCCCTAACTGACAGCCGCAGGCCAAGAGTGCGTGGAGTCTGGCTGGCAGCTGAAAGCCAGGCGCAAGCAGTTTACAAGCAGCTGCCCACGTACTCTGCAAGGAGCTCTAAACCCTAAACCCTAAACCGTGGGCTCTAATTGTTAGTTGAAAATCCTTTGGTCCACCTTGTCCGGCCCAAAGTCTGATTAGGGTTTAGGGTTTAGGGTTTAGGGTTTAGGCTAAAGCTTTGAGCTATGAATCCCCTGGCTGCTGAGTCGAGATCAATGGGGCAGTTAAAGCTTGACGAGGTTTCAGGTAGGGTTAAAAGTCTAAACGCCACGCTCGAAGGGTCTAAACCCCGAACCTATCTGTCCGTGAATCCTTCGTTCTATCGGCCCGACCGAGCAGCAATTATGTATGTTTTGGTCTGCCTACCTACTGGTGTCCATCCATCCATCCATCCATCCCTCCGTCCATCCATCCATCCATCCATCCATCCACACTATATGTTGTATACTGTATACTACTGAGTTACTACTGTATACTGTTTACTGGATACTGTATGCTATACTGAGACCCTCCTAAACCATTCCGTCAACTTCCCTGAACCCTCCACCCTTTAGGTACTTCGCTAAACCCCAGCCCCTTTGCCCTCAGGCCGTAAAGTCTGATCTCCTCAGGTCTCCTAAGCCCTCCTTTGGGGAGCAAGGTGCAAGTAGAATCCCATGATAAGGGGCCTTAATAATCAGAATAAGGTTTCGGGGCTCATTCTACCATAATTTAGGGTTGAGGGTTTAGGGGATGTAAGGTTTTGGGTTGGAACCCTCAAAAAAGAACACGCAATGATAAAGGCACCCTATAGCACACAAGGAACCCAGTCTCGACTCGAAACCCGAAACGGCTTGGGGCCTTGAAGGCTTCCAACCCTAAACCCTGAAACCCTAAACCCCTAAACCCTAAACCCCTAAACCCACAAACCCCTAAACCCCTAAACCCCTACACCCTAAACCCTGAACCCCTAGACCCCTAAACCCCCTAAGCCCCTAAACCTTAAACCGTATACCGGGCTTAGGGTTAAGGGTTTAACCCAAAACTCATAAACCCTACGTCCGAAAAGACCTAAACCCTAAACCCTAAACCCTAAACCCCTAAACCCCTAAACCCTAAACCCTAAATTGATCCCCAAACCCCAACCAACCCTCAAACTCATACAAACACGAACCCCAAAGGCCCAAAGCGCAAAGTCCAATATGCACTAAAACCCCAAACCCTAAGCCCGGTATACGGTTTAAGGTTTAGGGGTTTAGGGTCTAGGGGTTCAGGGTTTAGGGTGTAGGGGTTTAGGGGTTTAGGGGTTTAGGGTTACTCCCATATTTTGCAAAATCACCTAAAACGTCAAGGCCCGCTCAAGCCCACCAAGGCCCTAGCACCGCGTCGGCGATGCCGGTAGATGGGGCCTGGGCATGTGTAGGGGTATGCTCTTTCTATTGCTGTAGATTGGCAGCGTCCTGCACCTAAACCCCAGAATCCTAAACCTTCAAGCCCAAAACCCTCATGCACCCTACACCCTAAACACCAAACGGCCCCAAACCCCAAAAAAGCTTATCCTCAGACTCAGAGAACTGAAAAGTCTTCAAGACTGTAAACCACACATGACAAGCCCTTAGCAGATGCGTGAGTTTATGTACGCACATATGTGTGTGTATACATAATCATATATTTATACATACACAAAAACATACACATAACAGAGCGCATTAGTGTAGCGGTGGGCTATCGTGAGGGACGAGGCACCAAGAAAAAACCGCCGAATGGCCTTCGGTAGCTTCATCCAGCACCACCAGTTTGAAAGCAATGGCCACCATCTGCCGCTGGCCAGCAGACAAGTTCTGTCGATCACAGATCAAACGCCGTCATCATGCTTTGCTTTCTTTTCAGGTCGGCGACAGAGTGCTGCATCTGCTGGATCTCGCGGTCGTGTGACACCACAGCCTTTTGCAACTGCTGGATCTCGCCGTCCTGCGATACGACGGCACCTTTGACGAGCTTAAGTTCGGTGAACGCTAGTGTCACCTGCTGCTGCAGCTTGTCTATACACACGAAGGTAATTTTGAGCCTGTAAAGCTTCGGGCTTCGGGCTTAGTCGGCTTTTTCAACAAGTTACAAAACGGGCTTTCGATGACAACGACGCATTTTGACAGAAACCCAGAATCCAATACACGAGAACTGTCTCTCAAGTTTAACCCTAAACCCTTAAACCCTAAACCCTAAACGGTTAAACCCTAAACCCCTAAACCCTAAAACCGGCACGGTCGCTTGAACCCCCAAAAACTCCGCGCTACAAGAGCGCCTCTCATACTTCGCGAGGACTTAGGCTTTATGGTTTGGAAATGCAGTCTTGGCTGACTTCTGAACCCCTCCTAAAAGTTATACTTTTAGCCTCCTTGTTATGGTTCATATAGAAACCCAAGAAGTTAAAGTCTAAAGGTTCAACCAGAAGAACGCCAAGCAGTAATGTGGGCGGTTGTCAAAATTATGGTCCCTTTTTGGGTACCCAAAGCAATAATTAGGTGCCGTATTATAATAGTGAAGCAAAAAAGGGACCCAATTTTTGACAACCACCCATATTGGAGCCTAAATATCTACCTACACTCTTTTGGGGTTCCTTAGTATAATTGTTATGATGTAAGATACCCGAAAACCCTTATTCTGATATTATTAAAGCCCGTATAGTATCTGATGCAGAGTGACATCCCCCAGAGACCGCTCAACAGAAATCTAAACCCTAAGCCCTATACCATCAGCAAATCTCCGTTTCAGGGCGAACTCTGTAACACAAGCGGGCCGTTCCGAGGGCATGGCAGCTGAAGTACTTCTGCCTCAGCACAACTACAAAAGACTGCTTCTGCAGCACACAGACCGAAATAGGACCCCAAGAAAACACGGAGGACCTTTTCACTTAAAGCCCTGGTGAATGCCCTGGATCGACGCCTTAAACCTCAAAAGCCTTAGCTGTTGACAGTTCCGTACAATGATTTCCTGACAGTCCCAGACCTTCCAAAATCCCTTAATTAAGGAATATACCTCAAACCATAGTAGGATCCCTAATATGAATTAAGGTATATTCCTTAATTAAGGGATTTTGGAAGGTCTGGGGTAGACGGGGCTCAGCTTGGGCATCTGAGCAGGCCTCAGCCGTCTTGTCTCACCCGAACCCCGGTTTTTCCACGAGGGTCCAGGGCTTGCGGGACACCTAAGCCCTAAACCATGGATCAGTGGAATCCTAAACCCTGCAAATCTTACGCCCGCGTAGGAGGGTCCCTGGCATTCGTTAGGGGGCACAGCTTGAACTTAAGCAGTGGCAAACCGGCGCAAAGGACGAAGGACAAACGGTTTAGGGTTTAGGGTGTTTAGGGTTTTTGAGTTTGTGGTGTGTATAAGGGTTCAAGGTTTCGGGTTTTTAAGGTTTAGTGTCAGGGTCTGAAAAGAAAAAACCCGAAGAATGAACAAAAACAAGCCGCGAAAGATTGATTTTTGAAAGGGGGATGTTAAAGGCACACACTGACATGTGAAACACGACCATGACCTTGACAAAAATCACCACCCCAGCCATCGCTTTCAGGGTCAGGGTTGCGGGTTTAGGGTACAGGGCTTTGAAGCCTACTTCAATAAACCTTTAAAGGCCATGTAAGCAAATACAAGCAACTTCATCAACGAAACTCTGCACCCTAAACCCCGAAACTCTAAACCCCGAATGCCCCTAAGCTCTAAGCCCCAAAACCCTAAAATCCTAAACCCTAAAGCACAAAACTCTAAACCCTTAAGCCCTAAACACCTAAAACCTGAAGCCCTATAAGCCCCTGAACCCTAAAGCCCTATAAGCGCCGACACCCCAGACGCCGCCTCCCAGTCGTTGCGCCGGACTCATCCTGGAGATTGGCTCACGGATGGATCGAGCGTGATGAAGGGGCGTTGCACTTCAGACTAATTAATTTGATTCCCTTATTGTCGTAGCTGTATAAGTTACATAAGGCTAATATGATTCCCTTTTTAGTCCCTTGTTGCAGTAAGACCTGCATGATTGTAAGGGCTTAGCGCTTGGGGTTGAGGATTTTCTTGTCGTAGTAGCTATATAAGTCATATAAATAGTAGTATGTTTTGATGAAACACGTTGCACTTGAAACTACTACGACCGCCAAGGCTTAGGGCTTGGGGTTTAGGATTCCTTTTTGCAGTCGTTATCTAAGTGGTGGTATGATTCCAATATAGGAGCGACATACATATAATAGCAATGGCTCAGACTTTACCTCTGGACCGTTCCGCGAACATTAGCCTCCCTAACACAAAACCGTAGGCCCAGAAACCTAAGACTGTCCACCCGAAGACGTGAACCCGAACCTAAGCCTCCAACCCCAATCGCCGATCTTCTCACACCGGAACATGAACCAACAACCTGAATCCTATACCCCAAGCTCCAACACCCACAGCAGAAATAAGAAAGCAAGGAAGTGTACATGCACAGCCTGGGCATTCGGGGGTTGTAACATGTGCGAGACATCTGGGAACGGCACGAGGCCAATCCAACGCAAAGGGCATGTGCACTTAAATTTACCATCGTTCTGCATCGTGTTGACGTATGCATCCTTGCTGAAGGCTTGCATGCCTGCATAAGGCCTGGGCTTGCACATCCTCATCTCTCATCTCTTGGAAGATCTTCTCCATGGGGGGTTCTAGGACTCATAAGGCAGATCCAACCCAACTCTCACTTTGTAGGGTTCAGCGCTTTAGGCTCCCCCGTTCAGCCAGTTGCCTCAAGTCCGTGAACTTCAGTCTAAACCTTCCACCTGAATCCTCGGACCTTGCCTCTACAACTTAGCGCCTTGTTCATTTTGAAGCCTAAACCCCAAACACTAAACGTAGACGTAAACCATAAGTCTGCGCAGTTTCACTCTGAGCCGTGTCAGCCCTGAAGAGGCTTGATCAGTATCAGCATCATCACGCTAGAATAGCGGTTCGGAATATATTGTTATGCTGCTAAGGAACCCTACGGAACAATTTGGGTAATTGTGAAGGCTTCCACACTACCTCGAAGCACTGTGACCTGAACATTCACAAACCACAAGGAAGTCTTTGATGAATGGAACCCTACGACAAGGACTAACTTAAACCCTCGATCCCGAACTGTTAACCCTGAACCCCTGGTGAAGCCAACACAGTGAGTGATATCGCAAAAATCGCCAACCACACAAACCTCAAGATCCGATAAACTATGTAAACTGTATAAGCCCCTACACTGGAAATCCCAAACCGCTAAACCTCCGAAGCCAGTCCTCTAGCCGCCTGTGGCGACCAAACTCCTCTGGGCAAATAATCATGAATGCCGTAAGACTCCGTACTAAATGGTGGAACCCCTAAGCCCTATAGTAGAAGACAGAAAGTTGGAACATGAGTATCCTCATACCCTTAAGCTAAAGTATAAGGGATCCTAGCACTAATCCTCCTAAATCCATGTTCCAACTTTCTGGCTTCTACTATACACCCTTAAACCCTAAACCCTATGCCCTAAACCCCTAAACCCGTAAACCTTAAACCCTAAACCCTCACAAAGCAGGTTCAAGAAAAGCAGGGGTTACGCAACCTCATGCCTAGGATGGTCTTGGTTTGGGGCTTAGACTCTAAGACCGAAACACAAAACTTCTGGTGTACGGGCTTTGGGAAAAGGGTTTAGGGTTCGGGGGTTTATGGGAGCTTAGGGTTTGGGGTTTAGGGGCTTGGGGGTTTATAGGGTCTCACTGCTGCCCTGCGCACAAGATCTGATGATGACGGTACCATCTCTGACGATGAAAGCATGGGGACTTAGCCGGCAAAAAGTCAGGTAAGGCCTCCATCCACTTTCAGAGACCTCAAGGGATAATGCAGGAACCTGATTGAGAAACCCTGGGCCCATAACCCCAAAATAGTAGGATTCATATAAGGAACCCTAATAAAGGCCAAAGGTTTCGTAATCAGGTACCTACATTAATAAAAAAACCAAGCGTCTTGTAATTATGCCACTATTGCTGTCTGGGACCTAGCCGAAGCTACAACGTTCTACTTACCAAAACTGACTATGCCTTGGAGCCTCCACGAAACACCAAAGTTCCAGGTGTTCTAGCTAAACCTCGAACCCCAATGGAAGACCAACCCGTAAAGGGCAACCACCAAAGCCTGTCAATCTCCGTGCATGCAGGACCCGAAACCCTCGAAAGACCCTGGAACCCCAAACCAAGACCCTCCGAATTCCAAACCCTCCAAGCTGCCTCCCATCAAAAACACCGAAAAACCTGAATCTCAAAAGATCGTCAGCAGCAGAAGATTGTTAACACCCGCTGACTCTCACGATTCTCATAATTACTATAATGGCAATAACGATCATTAAGGTCATTAAACACAACAAGAATAATAATGATACCAATGGTACAATCACCATTCTTATCAGTACTATAATTACTATACTGACCATCAGAATAAGAATACTACTCATGTTCCTACTAGCCAGAAACCCGGAGCCTCCGCCGTGAGCGGGAGCAGCCGCAGCGGTGGCAGCCACTCGTTGGATTCCGGCCCGGGGGCTGCCTCGAAGTCGTTGTTCGTGTTATGCTTGTGACTGACTAGGGTCATGATCATGGTGGTAGCTATGACTATGGAGATTACAACTATGATTTTGATTATGGCTGTTGTTTTAACTGCCACAGTGATTCTATTCATGTCAATTCCCGCGCCATTTTAATGAGTACTCGTTTAAAGCATGGGTACTTGTTTCAAGCTAACGCGGCGGTGTATTGCACCAGGAATAATGCTATGACTGCAACCTAAATAGAGCACTGCTGATCTTGGTAAGACTAACACATTGCCAATCTTACATTTGCATAATTTCAATATTGCTACTATTACTATGTTGTTAATTTTGCTGTTTGACTTCCTACTTGTGGCTATGTATCTTCGTCATTATCTAGCTTAAACTATGCGTCTGTTTGCACTGGTCTGGTAATATGTTCTCCCTATCCAAGGCCTTCTCAAGGCCTGTAGGGGTTTCCGGGTACAGGCATTTAGTGTGCTGAGATCCTAGGAGTTTCTGGGGGGGTTGGAAGTTTGAGGCTGCGGAGCTTCATAGTTCAGGGTTGAAGAGTCCAGGCATGACTTCCTGCTTCTGCATCGCCCGAGTTATGTTCCTATACATGTTGCTGTGTTGACACGTTCCTAACCTGTGTTTCAGTTTATGCTAACCCCTAGAAACCCTAGGCCCCTAAACCTGATCCGCAAACACCGACACTTCCGAGCACTAATGCATTCCGATGGATTGGATGAGCACTTTGTGTCATGAACCGGACTCTCATGATCAGATCACGGTCATAAGGCTTTGGGATATGCTATACTATGGTTTTATATAGTACGGAGCCATAAGGGATACCCATCACTATTTATTCCGACCTCTAAGTAACGTGTACCCAGCAAAAGCAGCCCTTGTCATGCGAGTTTAAGCAATCCGGTAGAAACCCTTCCACTGGTACTTGCACCATGAACAATACCTGTGATACATAAAACAGGCTGCTGAGCCCTGCATAGACCCCATGGGTACCCCGCTTCATGTATGCCCCACATCAAACCGCATGGGCAAGGAACAGCTGATCTGGTGTACGTGGTTCGTGTGTCCCACGTGCCGGGGTAGTTGCCTTCCCTGCTAATAAATGCCTAACACCCTTAGCTCTGAAGCCTAAAAACGGTTTAGGGTTCAGGGCTAAACCCTAAACCCTAAACCAGTAAGCCGCTAGACCCTGAACCCTCGGAAGGAGCTCCCCGGTGGCTAAGGGGTCGAGGGATTCCGGCACGAACCACTGTGAGGGTGGGGATGGTCTTTTGATTGTTCTTTGTGTTTGGGTTTGAGGGCTGAGGCTTTGGGGTTTAGGGTTTAGGGTGAAGATTTGTGGGGTTTGCGTCCAAGGCGTGGCTGCTCTCTGCCTCTCTTCTTCAACAACCGGGCCCCCAGAAAGTTCAAACTTTGTAAGATAGAGCCAATATAGAAGGCCAAAAATTTTAAAGCTCTCCCGTCCACTATCTAAGCTGCCAGTATATACTGCGAAGACGAGAGAGACGACGAGTATATGCCATGAATGCTCACTATCTATACCACTCTACAGCCTGAAAACCCTAAACCCTAAACACCCAAGCCCTAAATGCTAAACCAAAAGCCCTAAACTTTAAACCCTAAGCCCTAAACCCTAGCTCACCCTGAACATCAAACTCGAAGTCCAGCCCTTGCCAGGGGTCCCGGCGACGAGTTGCTGCGACCAGTGACTGCCGGTGAGGTAAAGCCCTTGGCAAGGGGTCTATACTTTGAGGTTTAGGGTTAAGGGCGGTTTAGGGTTTAGGTCTTAGGGTTTAGGTCCCGGATGATTTTGAGGAAAAAATTAGAAGGTTCAGGGTTTCGGGTCGAAGGCCGCTGGGTCAAGATTTTAGTTTGGTCAAGGCGTCTGAAGCAGCATCCCATCACGTGTAGGATTCGCTTGCTACAAGGGCTGGGGGCTTAGGGCTTACCTATGGTCTCCATTGTAGTTCCGTTTTTTGGTTCTCCAATTTTATGGTTAGGACCCTATAATAGAAATTTTGGCTAACCAAAAAAAGGAACTACAATGGAGACTATAGGTACGGTGTGTGTAGAGTGCATGGGCCGCCGCCCGACAGCCAGGTGCACATGGCTTTGCAGGTTCTCTGGAACGGTTGATGATATAAATCCTGCATTACCTTAAGGACTCTAAACTATGGGAATTGTGCTATATTCCTTATTATGGGATAAATCCTGCATTACCTTAAGGACTCTAAACTATGGGAATTATGGTATATTCCTTATTATGGGTAATGCAGGATGTATATAATCAACAGAAACAGCCTGTGTGAGCTCTCTCCGGTCCGCCGGCTTTAGGCACAGATATGTAAAGGCATATACGGTTTAAGGTTTAGGGTTTAGGGTTTAGGGTTTAGGGATATCCATAGCCAGTTGCAGACCCACGCAATTGACCCACGCCCCGCAAATCCATCACCAACCGCGCAATGCTCGCTGGTTAAGCCTGAAGTCCTGAATTATTACCTCTCCGGGACGTTCAGCATCAAACACGGTCGAAAGCATCAACTGCACTGTGACACTTTCCTGGTGTTCTATAATCAAAGCCTGCATTTGCTCAGGGCCTCCGGGTCACAAGGTTTTGGCGGAAGATGCTGGGTGCTTTGGCAGGCTCTCTCTCATCATGTAAGCAAGCGCGACAGAGTAGCCGGTTGGAGTTTTGGACTTGGGGTTCCTGAGTCAAGCAGCTGCTTGCTCCTCCAGATGCCCATCGAAGTCTAATCACTCTTATCCCAGAACTCAAACCATAATGCTAAACTCTAGCGCGACTCTGAGATACCCAAGCTCCCAAAGTAAAACCCAAACCACATCAAATCCAAGCCATTGGGCCCTGGGTGCGAACTCTCAGGACACTGCCATGCAGCAAAGGACATGCGCCGACCGGGAAGGCTCCTTCGACCCCGTCGACCAATCTTTCCATGTCCTGCAGCAGGGCAACAAGGATGGACCACATACGCGGTTTAGGGTTTAGGGTTTAGGGCACCCCAGGCCTCATCACTCTGAATCGCTACAGCCCGGAAAAACTTTCAGCCGAAACTCGAAAACCCCAAGCTCAAACCTTGAAGTGATACAGCCAATGCTCATGCCCGGGAAATTATACTCATCTAAACCACAGTACAGAATGCCCTCCCTCCTCCCCCCACGTACCCGGTGCGGAGTATTCAGGCCATGCCCCGGACCCTAAACCCATTGCGCAGGTCTCACGGAATCCTCGCTCCGGATCAAATACCTGATGGACTCAAGAAGTTAGTGCACATAAAAACATAAACAAATCGTAATCAAACAAAGAACTAAATGCGGTACGCAGTACATGAATACGTCTCTACACACACATATATGTGTATATGTACACATACATATATGTACACATATATATATATATACACACACACACCTGCTTTAACGAGCGGTATTGACCATAAGATCAGTACATACTAGCAGTGATAGATAAAAACCAGTGCGCAGAATCACTGAAAGAACAAACGTGTAGTCGTATGTGTTTCGAGGGTTATGGAGGGCTTTTAAGAGGGCAAATCGCCCCTAACCCCTTCGTAAACTGGAAAACCCTAAACCCTAAACCCTAAACCCTTAACCCTAAACCCTAAACCATAAACCCTAAACCCTAAACCCTAAACCCTAAACCCTAAACCCTAAACCCTAAACCCTAAACCCTAAACCCTAAACCCTAAACCGTTGGAGTCTTGGGCTGCACCTCCATGATGTTGGCCTGCTCAAGGATGGCCTGGCGCAGAAAACAGCAGGATAGAACGACGGTTCAGACGGGTATAGGGGGTTTAGGGTTTAGGGTTTAGGGTTTAGGGGTTTAGGGTTTAGGGTTTATAGGGAGTATAGGGCTTGTTGTAGCCCCAAAACGGTGTCAGATTTTGGGTTTAGGGTCTAAGGGTTTAAAATTGGGGCCTGGATAATTATCTATTTTGGTGGTTCCTTGTCATAATTCTAGTATAATGGGCCCCAAAACCCTATTCTAACTATTAAGGCCCCTATATTAGGGGTTTAGGTTTTTGCAGCTCCGGCTCGTCTGTTTACAGTAGAAGCCCAAAAGTTAGAAACCCAATAGCCTCAATCATTCAGAGAAATGTATAGGGAACCCCAGCACTATTTGGCGATCGCTGAACACAGAAGGGGAAAGCGAGAAGGAAACAGAGAGAGCGAGAGAGAAAGACAGACAGAGATGGAGAGAAGAAGTGAAAGACCAAGAGAGAGAAAGAGAGAGAGAAAGGCAGAGACGGAAGAGACAGACAGAGACAGAGGGAGAGAGAACGAGACAGAGACAGACAGAGAAAGGTAGAGAGGCACAGAGGCAAAGAGGCAACGAAACCGTCATGAAATAGGGGGGAAGAAAGGAAGAGACAGAGTGAGACAGACCTACTATTTGCTTAAGAAACCCCCCAAAAATAAAAAAAATAATCCCTATATTACCCCCATAAGGAATATATTTTTTATTTTTTTGGGGTTCTTAAGCAAGTAGTAGAGACAGTGAGAGTCAGATCCCTTTGCCGGTACTCGTCTCCATGGCTCGGGTTCATTGCATGTACACAGGACGACCTACGAGAGCAGCCAGCAGCAGCTGTAACAGAATATGTGCCCATGGGAATGAGTGAGAGCGAGAGTGACATACACAGTGACACCGACAGTGAGAGTGAGAATAAGAGAGCAAGCATATGCGGTTGTAGTGTTTCTTCCTGGTACTCGTCTCCATATGCCCACACATGAAGTCGCACCAAGTCAGGGCTCGCATCTGCAGCTTTCGTGCTGCGTTCTTCCATGCCATGCGCCCTCAAGAACTCAGCAGGCAAGCCACTGCCTGCATCGTCTCCGATTGGTGTCTGCATCCGGCGTTTGCCACGAATGGCTGCAGCGCTGACAGGGAAGGCCGACTCATGAGTTGCCATGAGCTTCTTCACCACCGCATTGTCCCGAAGCCAACTTTATGGGGTTGACTGTATAGCGGGGTTCAGGGTTGGTTGTAGCCCCAAAGCCTTCCATGTGCTGGAGGGTCCAATATAGCGGCCGTAATGATGAGAATGGGGTTTTGGAGCCCATTGTACCATTGTACTAGAGTATAGGTCTATAGTAGGTTCCTAGACACCCACTTAGAGGATCATGGGATTTAGCAGAGCTGAAAAGGGATATCACTGCGTAAAGGACCTTCAATGAGTTTCCATATGTGTTCCTGAGTGCGCTGTAAGTGTTCTAATCAGGCTTTTTGCTATAGCCGCTAGCCTATAAGCCTTGACGGAACTGCAAAAAGGAAGCCTGGGTAAGTGCCGGGGCTTTCCGATTCAGAGTTTGATTGTGTTTAAGGGTTTGGGGGATCCGAGAAAGAGACAAATACTGCAGCTTGTATTATTAATGATACCATGCCTCGTTTTCTGATTCACAATCCTCATGCGAAGAAGTGATCGCATTGGAATACCTTAAGCCCAAACCCCAAACCCTAGGAACCCTAAATCCCGTGAGCCCTACAGAACCCTACATCCTAAACCGAATACCTACATAATACAAGGGGTGCGTATGTTCGGAAGCACCCTTGTGGTTTGTACAGGAATCCGGCTTATGGATGTTTACGCTTTGGGCTTCGGGCTTTGTGCTGGAAGAAGCACTCGGGCTCAGGCTTGGGGCTTATGGTTCAGGGTTTACCTTAAGCCGGAATAACCTACCTTTTTAGGGTTCCTTATTATGATTTCTTTATATAAGTCCTTAAAAAGGTAGGTTATTCCGGCTTAAGGTAGGGGTAGGCCATCCGCATGGAGTAGGTTTAAGGTTAAGCGGATTTGGGGGGTAAGGGTTGATTGTTCTGAACTCAGGTGTCTACAGGGGTTGAGGCTTCTGGCCGTGAGGGCTGGGTCTACTGAGACTTGTCGGGATTCAGGCTTAGGTGTCGAGTCTCTAATGAATAGCTGCAAGCTGCAGGACCCCAAAACATATATACATACACACACACACACATATACATATACATATGTATATATATATATACATATATACACACACATATAGAACCCTTACAGTATCCCTTATCATGTAAGCCTTATAAGCATCTTATATAAACCTTACAGTAACCCTGATCATGTAACCCTTACACTAGTAACCCTTATCATGTAGCCCTGGTGAGCTCCTTCTACTTATACTTGCGCTTTAAGTAGCCCTTTAAGGAACCCTTAAAGGAACCCTTAATCGCCCCTCATACTAGCGCTTTTAGTATCCTGAAAAGGAACCTTTCTCTCTCTCTCTCTCTCTCTCTCTCTCTCTCTCACTCTCTCTCTATATACACATATATACATATATATATATATATATATATACTTATATATATATATATATGTATTTATACATATATATATATATGTATATGTATATTCATATACGTACACCTCTCTCTCTATATATATATATATATAATATACACACATAACCTTAAAGAAACCCTTACAAGAAGCCCCTCATACTAGAGCTTCTAGTAACCCTTGAAAAGGAGCCCAGGCTTCCTGCAGGTTCCAGGGCTCCCTGGGCGACGTCGCTGAGGGGCCGCCGTACTTGGCAACCACCAGAGTGACAGAGTCGAGCCTGGGGGTCTTTAGGGCTTAGGGGGTTTAGGGTTTAGGGTTTAGGGGGTTTAGGGTTTAGGGCTTGGGGTTTAGGGTTTAGGGTTTAGGGTTCAGGGTTCAGGGTATAGGGGGTTTAGGGGTTCAGGGGTTTAGGGTTTAGGGGTTCAGGGGTTTCGGGATTCAGGGTTTAGGGTTTAAGGGGTTTAGGGTTTAGGTTTTAGGGTTCAGGGACTAATATAGGGGCATGTATAGCTAGAAGGAGTATTTAGAATAGCGCAAGATTGCGTAGCGGTAGTGTAACAGGGATTGTAGGATTTATTAGCGGTTTTGTTGCCTGCGAATCGCAGACATGGCCCGACTGTGGCGGGCCATCACATTACTCACCCACCCCACGCCGTCTGAGGCGGCAAACCGCCCAAATCTATACCTTTTAGGGTTTAGGACCTAAACTCTGTTAGGTCCATTTTGGTTAACAACAAACACACAATTCTGCAGCCAAAAGGCAGGGCAGAGTACGCCAGGAGGGAGAGGGCCGGGAGGGGTGTATAGCTAGAAGGAGTATTTAGAATAGGAGCCCGCCCCAAAATTGTATTGGTAACTATTTAGGTTTGGGGGTCTAGGGCTCGTTTGGCCCTTGGTTTAGGGGTTTAGGGTTTAGGGCTTAGGGTTTGATGACCTACTATTCCTTAAGGGTCCATGTACCCATATAGAGATACATGAGCCCCAAAGTACCTATATAGGGACTACATTAAGGCCAATGTATATACTAGATGAGCACATGGACCCTTAGGGATTTTGTAGGGTTTGGGGATACAGGTCGGGCCTCGGGCTCTTTTGGGTTTAGGGTTTCGGTGTTTCAGGGTTGGGGTTTCATGATACTACTATTTGCTTAAGAACCCCCAAAAAACAAAAAATATATTCCTTATGGGGGTAATATAGGGATTATTATTTTTATTTTTTGGTGGTTTCTTAAGCAAATAGTAGGATAGGGGTTAGATAACGGTTAGAGGGTTCAGGGTTTGCGGGGCGATTGCCCTGTTTACGGAAGCTTGAGAGGCTTTTGTGCGGGGGGGGGAATGCTTGGGGTTACTTAGGGTTGAGAGTTTACGGTTCAGGCTGCCAGAAACTGGGTTTGGAGATATTTCCTTTCAGAGGCACACATTATCCCCAGCAAAGAACCACACGTTAAAAGCCCAAGTACGGGCCCTGCCATGTTGCCAAACTCCCTTTTATGGGCCGAATTTGGGTGCCTTCGACAGGGTGTCATTTCTCTGTCATGAGGATTCTTGCAGGAATCCTGATACTGATAATTCAAATTCATCTCCAGAGCTGGAAGGTTTCAGGCCGCGTTGATCAGGGAGCCGGACTCAAAGGTATCGAGCTTGGTTTCCAGATTTCATAGCGCTGCACAGACAAACCTACCGCCTCCAGGTGCAGCAACTTGAAAGTGCTTCGGCGTGTCTTCAAAGCAAGCTCTATAGTACCCTAAACCCTAAACCCTAAATATAGAGCCACACCGTTTGTGCTGGCCAGGCCAAAAGCTCCTGGCTCGTGCCGGTCCAGCACACCGATGGAAGAAGGGTCGTTGGGCGAGTCACAGAGGGGGAGCAAGGTTCATGGCCACCTCCATCTGGGAGTTTCCGAAAATGAGGTGTACCTTACTATTTTGGGGCACAGTAATGAGGATCCTATTTAGGGTACCAGATTAGGGTCCCCTATTTTCGGAAACTCCCATCTGTGTCACCCGGGCGGCGATGTGGTCGCTTGCATTCATGGATCCCTGGAAGACGTCGCAGAACCACGGCAAAGGCTTCCTCAACCCCCTGAGCCCTTCGAGCCGGTGTTTCGCGTTTCCAAATCCCAAGCCTTAAGCCCAAAACTCCCCAAACCCCAAGCCTCAAATCCACCACGCTAAAGCACACCACCGATACTTGAGCTGTCTTAGCATGCATGCTGTGTAGCAGGGATCCGAATATTGATTGAGGCCTTGAAGGAAAGCAGATTCAGTACTGAGGAGTCTACGTTAAACCCCAAGTAAGCCCTGTTGAGGATCCCTATTAAGGACATAAGCATTCCTGAGGCCACGGGCGGCAAAGACCGTTGTTCAGCTGCATTCCGCCGGAAGGCGGTAATGAGGTCACCTCTGATGAGCGTTTAGGGCTCTGGGGATTTT